ACGTACTAGCAAAAGGGAATATGCTTTATTCTTTAGGATATGGTTATTTGATGATTGCAAAGATCCAAAAATCAAAGAAGAAGATATTTTACAACTGAATGAACCTTTTATATATGAACTTACAATGGAATTAAAAAGAGGTTAAAATTTTTGGAGACTACTTCAAACTCACTCAACACTACTTCAGCTAAAGGAATCTTCTATACATGGCCTACAATGAAATCTTCTATATATTTTACAATTGAAGAAACAAGTTTGGGATGCTTCTAGGTCCTTCTAAAGCACGACGACCTTATAGGTGCTAGTGTGAAACTTTAACTTTAGGTGGAAGGTTGACGACACTGCACATAGTCTGGCTAACGCGGGTCTCCCTACAATGCAGTTATAGACGAATTTACGTCCAATTACTTAGAATGTGACATTGATGATTCTTCTATGTTTGCTTGCTACAAACACAACAAGTAGTTACACATACCCTAAGGCTTGGTGTTATAAACATCAATACCCTAGAGGTTTCCTCCATAGCAAGTTTGTAAGATGTGTTCCAATTACAATGTATTGTACATTTTTACATACATGATGTTGTAGGAACTTTATTAATTCACCAATACGCGATGAATATTAAAGCTTTTCATTGTCTCCCTTATCAGTAGTAGGATGCGATGGTTAGGAATATCGTTGATTAGTTCTTCAACCTAAAAAGACAAATGAGGCCTCTCTCTCTCTTAGAATAATTCCTTGACCATACATCCATAGAGGTGTATTCTCCTGATTCCTCCTTGAGAAAAAACACATTGCTCCTTTTGGATGGGGAAGACCCTTAAAACAACCAAAGAATAAGCATGTCCCTTTGTTTCGGGTCTAGATAGAGCATTTATTGTTAAGTATTCCTAAAATGTGCAAAGTTATCCTGTGGTGCAAACTATGGTATGGATATTGTCATCTGGTTAAAGATCCCGTCAAAAAGTGGATGTTTAGGAAGGAATATGGTTGTTCTCTTTTTCTTCATTTTGAACCTTTTGTGTGGTCATGTTGCTTGTGAAGTTGTTTTGTTTGATTCTTAAAACTTATTGAAATATTTCTTCTCGAAACGGCTATGTTTATATTGGGATGTAGTTTTTCTTTTAGAATATCGTTGAAATTCATTGTCATGGTGAGAAAAGTGATGATTGAAAGTTATAGGTATTTAAGATTATATTAATTTGTTCATGTATATATGAAATATGTTAGGTATTCAAATTCATTCTCACTCTCAAATTACTTTTCACTCTCTCACTAATTTGGGTGTTCGAGAGCTAACCTTGTAGGCCACTCTCTTAAAGTTCCAAAGTCACTCGTTGTGTTGTTCAATGGTAAGTTTTTGTTGCATCCTCTAAAGGTGTTAGAGCTCTGCCTCTTCCTCTTCCTTAAGAAGAAGATGATCAAGTTCTAGTAGTATCTCCTTCTAACCTTACACAACAAGACCCTACTCCACCGAGAGTTAGTCAAGGAGTATTCTAGGCTCTCACATTCTTCAAATCCATGCAAAAAATTCACCAAGGAAAACCATCGCATCAACCTCGTACATAATCTATGGTACTTGGATAGGAAATATTCTCAGGCTTTCACCTGCTACACAACAATGTTGGAGTACATGGAGCCACCAACCTACTAAATAGTCTCTATTATCTATTCAATAGAAAAATTTACAATTCTTAGTAGATAGGCTATTCAGAATTGAAGAGAGTCTATAACATGATACACCAAGGAATAACATTGTGCAAGAGGCAGTATCCTAAGGAAATTAAATTGCTTTAGCTGAGATAGCAGTAACACCGGGAGAGGCCCTAAATTCATTGGATCATGACTGAAATTGAAGACATAGGATTTCTCCACCCGACCCTGAAGAGTGAAGCGATAACCATGCTTCCCCAAGGCTTATTGTCCTCGTCATTTATAAGCATAACATCATCTAAGAAGGGAAATAAACTACAAAATAATCCAGTTCTAGAGCAGAAAAAAAACATTTTATTTTCCTGCATCCTCGATATCAAGATTCTGAGGTCATTATATAAACATTTAAAGCTACAGAGCTATGAAAAAAATCAAAGATCTAGAAGAGCATGTTAAGCATGTAGACAAGTAGATGGATTACTACCACCCCTAAAGGGTGCTAAAGTGAAAACTCTTTGCACTAACCTTGATCAAAGTTGCAATGATGCGATTCAAAACCCTTCCAAATGGGAGCATAGGTTGAACTTGTATAAACTGGAGGTGTATTTCTCTCTTCCCTTGTCTTTTTACAGTTTCTCTATTTTTTCTTTCTATTGTTTTTCATGTGGATCAATGTGCTTGCATGTATAGTTAAGGAGTTATCCAATATGGTAAAGCTTATGCATAACAAAGATGCAAGTCAACTAATAGTTGTTTAGTTTTGATAATGAAGACAATTAAAGTCAATCATGTTAGACGATATGCTTTGATCTAGAGGGGGTGAATAGATCACAAATTTTACAACAAAAAACTTTTGGCAAAAATCTGTGTTCAAACTAAGGTGCAGTGGAAAAATGACCCGGATTGAATCGTCTAACCAAACCTACTATCGAAAAGCAATATACGTATCGAAACCAGACAGATTGATAATGAACGTAGATGTTCAATAATGATCAAGCCACAAATCAATTAAATGCAATGTTAATAGTAATTCGTATATCTAATGAACCAAAACGCAAACAAAATACACACACAAAATTTATCGAACACTTGATGTGCGATCGATAACAATTAGAATTGTAGTTTATTTTGTTGACGTTAAAACCTATCACGATCAAAGTGATTGTGATTATATCAACAACAACACCTTTAAAAGATAGTAGAAAATAATTTGCAATCGAATTGATCAAACAACGGCGAACTCGATAAATTGCGTAATCAACAATAAAAGAAATAAAGAGATGAAGAGAGAGAGAGAGAGAGAGAGAGAGAGAGAGAGAGAGAGAGAGAGAGAGAGAGAGAGAGAGAGAGAGAGAGAGAAACCAATATTTGTTTAGGTAGTTCCCCAATCGGCCTCGTTATGGGTACATCTGCCCTTAATTCAAAATCAAATTGAGATAGTGTTATTAACCATTTCCTTGCAAAAATGTTTATACAAGAGATGAAGAATGCAAACCACAAAACCCTATTGTTTTGTGTTGATTCTTCCACTTTCAACCCTTGATCAAAGCTTGATCAAATGACCAACAATGCGGCTATAATCCTCTGATTATCATGAACATGTAACTTGTTGAAACCCGAGATTCCCGAACACAACTCACCGTCTCATGCTACTCCCTTGCAAGAAAATCACCTTATCTCAAGGATTTCACTCGGTCGAATCTATGTTGACGTGATCTCATCCAAAACCTTCAAATCAACCAGATCTTGAAGAAAAACTCCACCTTGACTTTCTTATTTGAAACACACAAAGCCCTCAACCCAATGTTCTCGGTTACACACCAAACCTAATTAGACGTTATCAACCCTAATCTAGATGGTCGCCCAATCGAAAAATGATTATGTGTAGTTCAATGGATGAAGACGATGAGCAACTTTGTAATCTGTTTTCATTTAGATTTTATTCACTAGAAAACCTTATATAGAAGAAGATGCATGTATGAGTGTGTGTGTGTATATATATATATATATATATATATATATATATATATATATATATATATATATATATAGAGAGAGAGAGAGAGAGAGAGAGAGAGGTATGTGAATGAATGGGCAAAAGGAATGCAAAAAGTTGGAGTAAAACTGAACTGAAATTTTTGGATGGGAAAAACATATAGGTCGACATATGAAAGCAATGGGTAGACCTATGCGTGCTGTTTAGGTCGGCCGGTGAAGGTCATAGGCCAGCCTATCTAGCAGCATGTGATGCAGCTTGTGGGCAGAACCTATAGGCTTTAATACTGCTCCATAGGAGCCAGCCTGAAAGGTCTATGTGCCGACCTATACTAAAGCTAAGGCTCGTACAGGTCGGTCTGTTCTTGCATAGGTCGGCCTGAACTGACTTGCATGCCTAAAAACATATTTTTCAATGCAAATATGATATTGACTCCTTTTCAAACTCATTTGAATGCTTCCTAATGACAAGATGCACATTTAGAATGGGAGGATATCGTCCAATATACATAACGCTACACTATCCTAGTTTTGACATCACTCAAAATACAAAAGCACTCACAAATCAACTGCTAAAGTTAGTTCAAGTGGTCAAAGATGTGTTCATGCATTTCAACCCTTGTACGAAAGATAGGGAGAGATAACATAAGAACATGTTTTGTTTGCAACAAGAAAGGAAATGCTTTCTTTCTTTCTACGCTCATTTTCTCTCGATACATGTATCCAACGCAAATTTGACCAAATTTCTTAGGTATAGATCGTCGACTGTGCAGCTTTCCTCCATATTGCAGATCATCGCTCTTAGATATGATATTATCTCTAATAATCAAATAAAAGGTATTTTAATTGTTAAAATATTATTTGATTGATCGGAGGACTTCAAATATATATTGCATTTAAAAGGATTCACCCATCCATAGACTTCTGTATTTTAAGTGAATTTTTTAAAAATTTAATTGATATGTATCAGAGTGCAAAGATTTTTTATACTATAAATTAATCATCATCATTAATTTATTTAAAAATTTTAACTTTTATTTTAACCATTTAAAAAGTAATACAAATAAATCATATTGACATTATAAAACTTTTTACATCAAAAATGCATAATTATATTTTCTCATAATAATAACGTTTTGTTTTTTTACATCTTTACCTTACGCGGGTAGAAGCATCGAAGTCTGTCAGCGAGATGACGCGAAGTGAATTTGAATATTTGATCGATAAAAACAAACAAACGCCACAAAAGGAAAAGGAAAAAGAAATTCAATTGCTGACCCAATTCTCAACACTTCTTTTCGATTCCATTTCACCCACATTCCCATCATCACTGCAACAACCCTTTGGTTTTCATGACGATGAGTGATCGTGAAAAGCATTCGATTCTCATGGTCTCCGATTTTTTCTATCCCAACTTCGGTGGCGTCGAGAATCACATCTATTACCTCTCTCAATGCTTGCTCAACTTAGGCCACAAGGTTCTCTCTCTTTACAACTCTTTTCACATTCATTATATTTCTCTTTGCTACTTTGCTTACTCTCTACCTATCACATTATCATTTTGTTATTGCAAAAATGAAGTAGGGTTAATCGAGTACAAGCATTCTAGGTCTGAAGTAGTGTTTACTGTTTATGATAACAATTTGCGATAATTTTGTAATTTATTGTGCTGGCTGTGATAATTTGCGACGTTTTTTATTTTGACTTGAATGAAAATGTGATTACTGGTGGTGATCAGGTGGTGGTTGTAACTCATGCTTACGGAAAACGCTCCGGGGTTAGATATATGACAGGTGGTTTGAAAGTGTACTATGTTCCATGGAGGCCGTTTTTTAATCAGAATACATTTCCAACTTTGTATGGGACACTGCCGATTATACGAACTATTCTTATTCGAGAAAGAATTAACATTGTGCATGGACATCAAACATTTTCAACGCTTTCTCATGAGGCCCTTATGCATGCAAGAATCATGGGGTACAAGGTTGTGTTTACGGATCATTCGTTGAATGGTTTTAGTGATTCTGGAAGTATTCATATGAACAAGGTTTTGCAGTTTACTTTGGCAGATGTGAGTCAAGCTATATGTGTTTCTCATACAAGCAAGGAGAACACGGTTTTGAGATCTGGTTTGGTGCCGGAGAAGGTTTTTGTAATACCTAATGCTGTCGATACTGCTGTGTTTAAGCCCGCGTTGGAGCGTCCTAGCCGATTGGAAATTGTTATTGTTGTTATCAGTCGATTGGTTTACCGTAAAGGAGCGGACTTGCTGGTTGAAGTCATTCCGGAAGTGTGCCGATTGAATTCTAATGTGAGTTGATCTAAACACTGTTAGGTATCAGCTTGTTTTGCATTGTGAAGTATAAGAAATTTGAGCCTAGATTTCTGTCTGATGTCGACTTAATGGTATTAACTTATGGCCCCTCTTGAAATGCTTTGCCTTTTTGTCCCGTTGGTGTTTGTTGACAGAAAAAAGTTGCAATATTTATGTTTGATAAATTATTCTCAATGGTTCCTGTTGGTGTTTGTTGACAGAAAAAAGTTGCAATATTTATGTTTGATAAATTATTCTCAATAGGTGTTGACAGAAAAAAGTTGCAATATTTATGTTGTTGCTGCTGCATACAATTTTTAAAAAGCTGCTGTTGTAGTCAAATGCATGAAATAACTAAAGTCCATAACTATAGAGTCTATAATGTTTTAAAAAAACTATAGTCCGTAACTTTTCTGCGATCCTAACTTCAGATTTTACTCATTTAGTGCTATATCTATTGAATCTTTTATGTTCTAGCCTCTTCAATGCTAATTTTTCTTGTTCTACAATAAGTTTTACCAATAGCTTATTTAATATCACTTGAGGGATACTAATGTACATGTAATCTTACATTTGACAAAGTTATATGCTGATTTATGTATTTCATTTGAAGGTTCGTTTCATTATTGGAGGTGATGGGCCTAAGCGTGTACGGTTGGAAGAGATGAGAGAAAAGAATTCTCTTCAAGATCGAGTTGATTTCTTGGGAGCTGTACCACATTCACAAGTTCGGTCTGTTCTAATATCTGGGCATATTTTCTTAAACAGGTTTGGCTTCCTGGAAAAGTTCTTTCTTTAAGTTTTATGGTTATGAATTCATACTCCGGTCATAATTTGTAATTATCTATTGGATCTTCTACACTTGTTTTTGCTATTGTTATATTCTGCCTGACACTCACTACTATACAACACTTCTCGTCCTACAGATACTCAGCTGAATTTTTATTTGAGTGTTGGGAATGATCTTTTTAATTTTTTGCTTTGAACATGAGGGAGATAATGAAAGCCATTTTAAGTGGTTGAAACTTGAACAGTAAATTTGCTAACTTAATTTTGATGCAAATCAAGTCATCAATATTTTCAAATCGTCTACTGTTCTTGTCTACCATATTTCTCAGTTCTAGGTTTAAGACAAACCTTTAAGAAATAAGGAGAAATCTATGATTGAGAGTGATGTTCCATATACAATTTCAGTTCAGCCTCTGCACAGTTCTTTAGATTAACAGGTACTTTATGGCCCTCAATAACTATTCTATAAACCCAGGGGAATTGGTAAATTAATGTCATAACTCATTGACCTTCAAAGCACCTATATTCTGTTCATAATGTCGATTCGACAGACACTAGTCAATCTAAGAAGAAATGTGCACCAGTTTGTAACATGACCTCTGGAGCAAAGAGACACCATTTCACCCAAATAACCCCCTAAATAACTAGTGATTGTTGCTACTTTCTACTTTTTGCTTATGTACACCGTTGGTTGGTTAACGTAGCATTCTGGCCTATGTCATGAATCCACTTCAAACAGTCAATATCTGATCCAAGCTAGGTTGAGTCACAAATACAGGTTTTCTGATTCTATGTTATTGATTTGAAGATATTAAGGACATGAACTTTATTATTCTGAGGTGTATCCGATGTTATTTATTTTGTATTCATTGTCCTACCTGATCTTTTCGCTGTTACAGTTCCTTAACAGAAGCTTTTTGCATAGCCATATTAGAGGCTGCTAGTTGTGGATTGTTAACGGTCAGCACGCGCGTCGGAGGTGTTCCTGAGGTAGGTACCACATATTATCTTTCTATCCTTATTTGATATCTAAATGCCTTCTATATAGTTTTTCCTTGGGAATGTCTCTTATGCACACCACTTTCTTATCAATTCCATGGTATAGGTTGTACCAGATGACATGATTGTTTTGGCAGAACCTGATCCAAGTGATATGGTGCGCGCAATCCAAAGGGCGATAACTATGCTGCCTAAAATTGATCCTCAAGTCATGCACAATCGAGTGAGTTTATAGTTCAAATGACCCTTTCCTTTTGCTTTCACTGGCTAAACTAGTTACTTACTCGGTCTATTAATTGATTTTCTGTAGATGAGGGAACTCTATAGCTGGCATGATGTTGCCAAAAGGACCGAAATTGTATACGACCGTGCTTTGAAGTGCTCCGATCAAAGCCTACTTGAAAGGCTCTCGCGGTAAACACTTTCATTGATTCAATTTGATTCAAATGAACTAAGGAACTTACAAATTTATCACTAGCTACTTCTAAAATACTAATTATATCTGTTATTTTAGATACCTCTCTTGTGGAGCATGGGCAGGAAAGATCTTTTGCTTGGTTATGATCTTCAATTTTTTGCTATGGCATCTATTGGAGCTATGGCAGGTATAATAGACTTGAATAGTGTTGCACATTTTTGCTTCTTGATGATGTTTGGTGAGTTTTCTTACTTTTGTTGTTTTATCTGCTTTCATTATTAGCCTGCAGATGAAATCGAGGAGGCGCCCGATGTTATTCTCTCGCGCAACTGCAATGGATTAGAGGGATGTTGGAGAAAACACAACAATGCAGAACATCACAAGAATAGTAATAATACTAATAATAATATTTCATAGGAAAAAATATTTTGTTGTATAGTAAATCAAAGAGGTGAGAACTCTGATTCATCATAGATTAAGATCTTTATAAAATTGTAAAGGATCCAAAATTTGGATCTAATGATTTTTCTTTATTGATCGGATTTGGTTCAAGATCGTAGATCAATCATGATTATAAAAGTGTCATTAGATTGTGCATATGTGTTGTGTGATATATTGAAAAATAAACGAAAATCGTGTGTTTGAAATGTTACTTTTTGTCCTTATTTTATGGATGGATAACAAGGAATAATAGTCTGAAAGGTTAATTAAAAGTAAAGAATCAATGCTTATTATTATTATTATTAACAAATTGTTTAATATTTTAACAGTTACTTATATCCAATTAAATGCACAGTTCATTTTCATTAATCATCAAAAAGAATAGTTGTCTTGAAATAATATTTTCACACTTTTTTTAGTAGCTTTAAAAAAAAATTAAAAAAGACAAAAAAAGATAAATGTGTTGTATATGCACTTTATAAGCTTTAATTTAATGAAATGAAACAAAATAAGTATTGTTAGTTTCAGATCTCAGTGGTAAAAGAAGGTTCCAGCTTCAAACAATTGTCACTTTATTCTCTCTCTCTCTCTCTCTCTCTCTCTCTCTCTCTAAAGGGTGCTTCAGATAGTGGTAACAAATAGAAACTTAGATACGATTTTAAAGATTGTAACTTTCCACTCAGAATTTTCAACCTTCTACAATCAAGATTCAATTCAAGAAAAAAACCCTCAATTTCTTACTTCTAAGCAAATTTCAAATTTGAAGTCAAACCCATTTATCACATCCTCAAAAGTGAGGAACTGCTCTCCTACTGCACCAGTAAGCTTCCAGATCTATCTTTTCTTTCATTCAAATTTTCTTGCTTTTTTTATACCTGCATTCAACCATAGATCTTGTTGTTCTTAAACTATGTATTAGAGACTTTTATGATTTGTTTTTATTGGAAACTGCTTTTGCTTATTGATTTTAGTTCTGATATTTGCTAATATGGGAGCTAGTTCATGAGCAAAACAAGTCAATTCTTCAATTCAAACTGTGTGACTGATTTAGCTCAAATTTGTTGTATATAGGATTGTTAGCTTTGGATCATAATTCCTACTTGTGTGGCTAAGATTTGAAGATTATGAATTTAATTAGATGCATTGTTTTATGTGTGTTTATTTGGAAACTGTTCGAATTAGATATAGACGAAACCGACGCAGGGTGACGCGGATTATTGATTTATATAACTTGTTCACCAATCTTCCCATGTATGGTAATGAATCTTTTTTTTTTTGTTCTTTGATGCGTCGTACCGAGTACTGGGGCTGTATATTCTTCCTGTCTACTGTTGTCATATGGGTTAAAATAATGATAATATTATTAAGTTTGGTCGCTGACATTTAGTGTGTTGAATAGATTTGAGGAGTCTTCGAGACCGCTATGGCAGATTTGGAAAATTTGCTCTTGGAGGCTGCGGGAAGAACTGGTACGGCTGGGAGAAATCGGCATTCTCTCCTATCTTCGAGGAGACGACGTGAAGGCTCTTATTCAGATGGTGGGAGTGACTCTAGGGATGATGATTCAGATGATGAACTTAATTATGCGAGCAGAAAGCCATCTGGGCCGCAGATTCCTCTGAAAAAGAGATTAGATCCGAGCGACAGAGATGATGAGTTGGGCAGTCATGAAGAAGCGGATGATGGGCGAAGCGATCGTGAAGGCGATACAAGTGATGAATCAAATATAGGCGATGATCTGTATAAAGATGAAGACGACAGGCGTAAGCTTTCTGAGATGAGTGAACTTCAAAGAGAGATGATTTTGTCAGATAGGGCTTCGAAAAAGGACGATAAAAGTTTATTGGGAAAAATAGCGTCAAAGCGTGAGAAAGGAAAAGCAGTAATGACTGGAAAGCAGTCTCCCCCGCTGTCATCCTCTCGCATGCGCGCATCAGCCAGATCTGCTGATAGGTCAGCCAAGAATGAAGCATTAAATGAATTGCGTGCAAAGCGATTGAAACAACAAGATCCAGAAGCTCACCGTAGATTGAGAGAGGCATCTAGAAGCTCAGGGCCCCGACACTTTTCCCCACCAAAGCGCAAATCTTTCACATCAGCTAATCTCAGTAGTTCAAGCCATAGCGATAGTGAAAGTAGGTCTCACAGTGATGATGAAGGATCAACTGGGGATGGAGGAATTGCTGACAGTGATGATGATAGAGCATTATCTGGACCCGAGGGACCATCGTTTCAGGATATAAAGGAAATAACTATCCGCAGGTCAAAACTTGCAAAATGGTTGATGGAGCCTTTCTTCGAGGAGTTAGTAGTTGGTTGCTTTGTAAGAGTTGGAATCGGTAGATCAAAAACTGGACCTATCTACCGGCTCTGTATGGTGAAAAATGTCGATTCCTCGGACCCTGATCGACAGTATAAGCTAGAGAACAAAACTACACACAAGTATTTGAATGTTGTTTGGGGAAATGAAAGTTCTGCTGCTAGATGGCAAATGGCTATGGTAAGTGACTCTGCTCCACTTGAAGAGGAATACAAACAGTGGGTGAAGGAAGTAGAACGAAGCGGTGGCCGGATGCCAAGCAAACAGGATGTGTTGGACAAAAAACAAGCTATACGTAAAACCATTACATTTGTCTACTCTGCAGCTACTGTGAAGCAGATGATACAAGAGAAAAAGTCTGCCTCGTCAAGGCCACTAAATATTGCTGCTGAGAAGGATCGACTAAGGAGGGAGTTGGATAGAGCACAAAGTAAGAACGATGACGCAGAAGTGGAGAAGATCAAGACAAGACTTGTAGAATTAGAGGCATCCAGACATACAAAGGTGAAGGACGCCAAAGCTCTGAAGCTGGCTGAAATGAACAGAAAAAATAGGGTTGAGAACTTCAAGAATGCTTCTGAATTAAGGCCAACAAAAACCGGTTTGAAAGAAGGGGATGCGGGTTATGATCCATTTTCCAGGAGGTGGACAAGATCAAGAAACTACTATGTTGGGAAACCCGGTGAAAAAGCTGCCGCTGGAAATATTGGTACTGTTGGTGTAGTTGCTGATGCAGGCAGCAATGGAACTGGAGTACCAGTAACTGCGGAGTCTGGTGTGGTGGCTACTGCCGCTGCCTTGGAAGCTGCTGCTGATGCTGGGAAGTTGGTGGATACAAGTGCTCCAGTGGATCAAGGGACAGAATCAAACACGCTGCATGGTTTTGAGCTGCCAATCTCATTAGCATTACTTCATAAGTATGGTGGAGCCCAAGGAGCTCAAGCTGGATTTATGGCAAGAAAACAAAGAATAGAAGCAACAGTTGGATTTAAAATCAAGGAAAATGATGGCAGGAGGCATGTACTGACTCTGTCAGTTGGTGATTACAAAAGAAGAAGAGGGCTTCTCTGAAATTTGTTGCTGTGGTGCAGAATCTAGTTGAGGTATGTCCGCTGTTTATCGATCCAAGTACGATTTTTATCGACTGTCATCATATTGTTGTAACCTTATTATGTACGTTGAACTTTTTATAAGTGGTCCTGTTTCCACATAGCTTTATTTAGCTTTAGTTTTGAACAATAAATTCAAGATAACATTGTACTGTACTATATGATTTAACAATGATGGTTGAAAGTTAAAGAGAGGACAATTGCTGTAAGAGATCTCTCCTGCTGATTTCATTATTGTCTATTTTATCAGTAATCTTTCCTAAGCTCTTTAGTTTTCTCATTTTCTGGTCTAGGAATGTTGTCCCTAGATTTTGGTAGCATCCATTTTCATTCGTGAATATCATAGTGTAATTGTTTGGCCTTTGATTTTCTTTTTCATTTCAAACTCATCTTTATAAGTTCGGTTTAATTTAATAAGCATATTTTACCAGCTGAGTTACACATTTGTGAGAAACAAAAAGTTCCTCTTTAAAGAATAGCCTAATATTTATTGCTTTTCTAACGTGTTGTGAAAAAAAATTGATTTTCATTATGATTTTGTAAAATTACTTTGGTTACATTGTTAATTGAATTTAAAATCGTCTATGTTTGTATACAGTCAGTCACCTATAAAAGCAAACTGAACAATAAGGATAAAAATCACAATTTGAGGCTAAATTTCTAATTTGCAATTTCAAGCTAAAATCAATTTTGATGCAAAATAACTTTACATACTTTAAAGCTCAAATTTATACTCTAATAATATAATATCTTTTCACTCCTAAAAGTAAATTTACTCAAATTTATACTACTTCAACATAAATGATTATGATATAAAGGGTACAAAAATTAAAACCAGCAATCCATTGACAAGAAGCACAACATTTGTGTTGCCACTTCAAGTTAACATTAGCATTATGAAACTTTATCAATATTTTTACAACTTAAAAAACTTGCAATAAAAAGAAATTAAGAATCCATTAGAGCATCACACTGACCATTCTCCCAGGACTTTCATTACAAGAGTAATTCCCAAAATTATAAAATAAAAAGAGAAGTAATTCATTCATTATCCTTGTATTTCTTCATTCTTTCATCTTATTATATGAGTTACTTGATTGTTTACAAATAAAGCAAAATTTAAAATTATGTAACGGGCCCGTCTAGCTCAGTTGGTAGAGCGCAAGGCTCTTAACCTTGTGGTCGTGGGTTCGAGCCCCACGGTGGGCGTTTGTTTTTTCACTTTTGCTAATTTTTTTTTTTTGCTATTTTGCAAAATACGCCTTAATAACCGTCAACGTGAAATTATAAAATATTAAAACGAAAATAAATTGTTATTTTGATTTCAATGTAATTACAACAAAAACAAGCACAGTAAAAAAAAAGTGTTATACTGAACCAATCAATCAGCCTCTTGCAACCCACCAAGTACAACCGACCCGGCGAACAACCCCACCGCGCCGACACCAAGAACCGCCGCCACGACGGCCTGAACGACAACCAGACCAGTAGAATCATCCGGAATCAGAACAACCGTGGCAACAGCCGCAACAAGCGTAGGAAGCGACAGAGAAGCCAAAACAGAAGGAGAAACAGTGGCGAGTTTCTCCAATAAACTGAGCAAACCAAGCTCTTCCGCCTTAGAAAACAAACCTAACTTCTCAATAGAAGATAGCGTTACGCCTAACTCCTCAGCTTTGGATAACAAGCCTGCTTTCTCCACGTTGCTCAAAACTTTCCTCTTCTCGATTTTCTTGAATACGTCAACTTCAACCTCTTCGCTTCCCTCGTAGAATATCCCCGCTCCGAACCATTCTTTCTTCCAGTTATCGTTGTACTTGTTCACCTTCCACGTTCATCAACATCAACGCCAATTCAGTTATACAAAATTCAAAAAATAAAAAATAAATTAAGAGGATGTTTATCGTAGTACCTTGTTTTTGGGAGCCATAGCGACTATGGTTAGAGGTAGTTTATTGTTACGGGAGGGAGTGCGGAATGAGGTTTGGTGACGGAAGATGCGGTTGTTTGTGTGAACATGACGGAGACAGAGAGGTGATGATGGAGCAGGCACCGCCATGGATAGATGATTGATTGATGATGCGCCCGCTTGAATCTCAATCTCAATTGCCACGTCGGATAATCAACAGAGTAAAGTACTGAGCTGAGATAAACATTTTTTTTGTTACGCGAGATCTTGCTGCTTCATTTTCCACCACTCGTGTTGTTCCTACCTTGATCTATCTTCTTTCTCTATCTTTTCCTTATCTATGTCGTAATAAACTCATTTTTATCTTAAATTCACCTAGAAATTACTCAAAAATTTTAAATATTAATATTATATGTTGTTCTGGACTGGACTAAGACTTGCCCCTCAGTCGGGCAGATTCAACCCAGCGCTACGCTCACAAGGCCTAACATGGTTCAATTCTCCTTCTGCCGGGCACAAGTCTCAACAAGGCACATATGTTGGGCAGATGATTCCTTTGACGGGGAGACTCACACGTTTCCCCCACGTCCCCCCCCATGCGAGTACACGTCATCAGGCAACTACCCACCTCTGAAAGAGCCGGCCAACCCACCTTCCGAAGATCACGAGACGGTTGATCTAGGGCGAAGACCATGTGCTGCTCTTCACTACGCCATGTAAGCCCTGACAGTTACTTGTGTTGGGTTTGACAGTCTGGCCCAATGCAATGTAACTGTTGGTCCTGCGTTGGGGTCTCTCTATAAATACTCTTTTTCACTAGAGCATTTGTACTTGCTCTCTCACTCTGATCTTTTACTCACTTAAGCATCTGAGTGCCTTGAAGGTACACCCTCTCTTTCTCCCTAACTCCAGTGAAAGCTGCAATCCAACGACGCATGGCAGGTCATTGATCTTTTTTGATCAGGCGAGATCAATGGCGCTGTCTGTGGGAAACTCAGCTTCCCCGTTCTTTCTCCTGTCCGAGCCCAAAAGCTCAAGAACCAAAGTGAAATCAACTTCTAACTTCCATTCCAATCATGGTCAGCCCATGCAATAACAATGCTTCAGGATATGCCGTTACCCCCATTCTCCAACGGGGACGGCCACGACCCCAGCACGGTCGTCCACAACGAGGAAGGTAACCATAGGGACGGACGCACCGCCTCCCCATTTTCAGAAGACGCAGCCTTCAACGCCGTCCAGCGCTTAGACAGTCCGGCTGTCTACCAGCCCATTCAGGCTCCGGCTGGTGCCGACCCTACCGTCACAACCTTATTCGCAGCGATCAATCAAACCAACCTGATGATATCCGGGCAGAACGAACAAATAAGGATGTTCGAGAGAGAACAACTGTCGCGCTCTCCCCCGCGGAGACACTGTCGCTCGGTTTCTTCTAGTCTGTCTTCTCCCCCACAGAGACACAGTCGATGACACTCTGTCAGTCTCTCTCCCACGAGGAGACACCGTTGACAGCGTTCTGTCAGCCGCTCTCCCCGACAGAGACACCATCAGCAGGCTTCCCTCAGTCACTCGCCTCCTCCACAACAGACACGGTACGTGGAGGACTCCAGGAGCCCATCGCCCTGACCGGAAGGGCGCCGTCCCCGTCTCGAGCGACCCCAGTCGACGGTTTCTCACAAGAGGGACATGTCCCCTCCTTGAGAAGAGCGACGCTCCCCGACTCCGAAGAAGAACAAAGCAGCTGCAGCCCCCTTCAGACCGAGGGCCCAATCGAAGAGCCCACACCGGCGAAGAAACCTCCTGGACTCAGCCTCACCCTCGCGTCGACCGTCTAAAGCGAGGATACACGAGGCTCACCATTATGCAGGGTCATCAGGGAAACACTATTGCCCGTTGTTATGGTGAGAATCGGATATCAAGCTATTAATTAACTTGAATCACAAATCATAAAGTTAACCACCGAGCTTTGATTTATCCAAAGGAAATGGTAAAGATCGAAGAAAACCGTAAGTGCGCTACCTAACAACAAAGCTAAGAGATCTAAAGTTCGGGGGTTGATTATACTAAGGGAAAGTATTAGCACTTTAAGTATTGAAGGTGAGAAAAACACTTAGAAGGGGGTTGAATAAGAGTTTAGAAAATATTATGGCAATAAAAACACAATGATTTTTATCCTGGTTCGTTGAACTCAACTAATCCAGTCCACCATATCAAGAGTGATTTGCCTTTCTCCACAAGGACTTAATCCACTATAGTCAAACTGATTACAGTGTCAAACACTAAGAACAATTGTCTTAGTCTTCTCAAGAACTACTGACCACAACTTGGTCTTCTTAAGGAACCTTTACAAATGAATGTAAACTAATAAGTGTGTTTGAGTTTGCTTCTAACAAGCTTTAAATCACAACTGTGATTTTTTAAACAAGATTAAGAATGAAAGATAAAACTATTCAGCTTTGAATAAGAAAGATTGTATGAATAATTTCTATGAGTTTGTCAATAGTTCGTTAGTTTTGAAGAGATGTTGAAGACGTCCTTAAATAGTGCTGAGAGTCCAATGCTTGAAGACTGTGCAAATAGGGTAGTTGTAGCCTTTTGTCTTCACATGACTTTTCCTGTCTCACAAGTAGAATGTTCAGAGAAATGCCTTTTGCCTTAACCCTTGTGTCTATCATAAATAAGGAATAGTTCCGTTGGAAAGGACGTTGAGAATAGTACCAAGTCTATTCACGTGACATCTTTTCAAACGTAAACAACATCAGATCCTCTGATGTGCTTTTTGTTCTTCAGATCAGATTCAAATGATATCAGAGTTGCAGCAATAGTGCTTTAAGCGTGAGTGATCTGATCAGAGCACAACTGTTCATCAGAGCCTCTGTACTTGCAGCGTAAAGTACATTCAGAGTCTTCTGAACCAATGCTTGAAACTCTTCATACAAAAATTTCAGCTACGCTTCAGATGCTTCTGCAGCTTCTACTTTAGAGTCTTCTGCAACTTCTGCTTCAGAGTCTTCTGGCAGCGCTCAGAGTCTTCTGATGGCTTGCATCTGATGCTTCAGAGCTCTGCGTAACTTGCTGTTCAGATGCATTTTGCTTCCATAATGATATTTATTTTAATATCTGAAACACAAAACACTTGAACAAAATTAGAGTATATACTTTCTTAATACAAAATTTCATTAGAGTTATCATCAAAACATAGAGATAATATAAAACACCAATCTGTGTTCTAACAAGTATCTGTAGTACTCTAAGGGAACTGTGCTAAGGTAAAGACCTATGGTATATACACTAAGTATGTTCGCCAAAACATCGCATCTTGTGCCTACGTATCCTGACTAGGACGGAATAAGAGTAACCGTTGTTCACCTAACTAGGGATGAGGAACTGTTGATAACAATCAAGGTTACAAGGGGAAGTAAGTATCCATAACCATGATACTTACACAGAGTTAACCAACTCTCTAAGTCTAAGTTGAAAACTAACTAAAAAAATTGACTTTAACCAAAGTCAAAGGGGAAAGTGAGTACTCATAACCATGATATCCACATAGAGTTTACCAACTCTAAACCTAATTCTAAGTTGCAAGAACAATTGGTTCTAACCAGACCAAAAGGAGGGGGATAAGTGTTAGTTGTTAGTGGTTAGAGGGCTCAACAAGATATCGCATCTTGTGTCTACGTATCCTGACTAGGAAAGGAGAATTAGAGCCTCCGTATTTCGGCCTAACTAGGAATAAGGAACTTTTGATAACGATCAAGGTTCTAGAGGGGAAGTAAGTATTCATAACCATGACACTTACATGGAGCACGACGACTCCAAACCTAAACTAGGTTACAACAGGCAAGACTCTCACAAAGTCTCGGAGAAAATATGGACAAGGCTATGCAACATGACTTACAAATCAACAAAAGTGATCCCTTCCTTTAGATTCATTAAGAAGAAATTGTCGAACAAAATAGGCATCATGACAGTAATGTCCCAAAAAGCACAAAGCAAAATTTCAAACATCAGAACTAAACTCAAGGACAGATAACAACATGTATACAAAGTAAGAACCAAGACATGTAATCAACTCACCAGACAAGACATCAAAAATAAATATCATCAATTAATTAAGACAAAGTATCAAGAATTAATCGAGAAAAATCAAGTCCAATTTAAAAAAAAAAACTAATCAATTAGTAATGATAACAAATCATGGAAGTAAAATCTAAAAAAAAAATAATAACTAAATTAAAAAAATCAAACTTATCAATTAAAAATTAAAAACATAAAAGCCATTTTTCCTAATCTATTCAATTAGCTATGATAATTAAAAAGGAAAAAAAAAAAACACATACAACACTCTTTTCAATTCAATGCTTAACTTTTGTACATATAAAACATGCAAGCATATGCTAAAGCCAGTAATTAAAAAAAAAGCGCAAATCGAAAACGGCATGCGGATTTTTACTGTGCTTGATTTTCAAAGGCATGTCAATCCACTTCCTATCATAATCCTAGTATTATTCATATTTTATAAACAAAATTACATCCTAAAATTTTTTACATGTAATTTACGGGAGAAAGCTATAATAGAATGAAAACATCAATATACACTTAATTTACATAAAGATGAAATAAAACTATTAAACATAATAAGACACCAACAAGTAAGTATATCAGTATATGTTAAAAGTAACAAAAAATGATCTCTCATCTCTATTCTAAGGTACATCAAGCTAGCATGGGAATTTTGTTGTGATGGGAGTGGAGACACAAGGTGACATTATGTGTGTATATGAGGAATGGGTTTACTATATGTGGAGAAAAAGTATGAAAATGTTGAGTTTTTGTATGTTCAAGGGTGGAAGAAGAGTGAATAGTGAATGATGATGTTGTTGTTTTATGTATGAGGAAGATGAATAATGTGAGAGGAAAATTTGATGGAAGAAGATTGGTGTTGGTTCAGGGGACCTTTTTAAAAAAAAATATGTTTTGAATGTTAGAAGGTTATTGTTAGTGTTAGTGATGATGGCGACGAAAAAATGTGTTGATGAGAGTGAGAAGAAAGGTTTTTGTGAGCTGCCTTGTAAAATGTCAGTGAGGGAGGCACCTTTTTCATGGTTTTGTTTTTTTATGTATGAAGGAAATGCTAGCTGTGTGTA